AGAAATCAACAGACGTCGTGGCACTGCTTTTTTTTATTATCATGTCTGCACACTGTGGAAGTGAGCACAGACAGACAGCACTTGCACATGTGCATGCCTGTCGTACACGTTGTATGGGTGTGAGTCCATAAATCAGGGCATGTTTATTTGCAGCACCATGAAATAAGCTGTCTGAAGGAATGTATCTGTGAGAGAGGACAGATGGATGTAAAAAACTGAAAATGTTTCTCGGGTGTAAACTAGAAAGACCCGCAAAATGAAAATAAAATTTGAAAAAAAAAAAGTGAGCTAAAAGTAGAGCATGTTTTTTGTTACACTACAATCTGTCACCATGAAATAAAAAGGTCCATCTCTTTCCTCTCCTTCCATTTACCCTCTTCTTCTCTGCCTCTCTCTCTGTGGCCTCTTGTTTTTTCTACATTTCCGGACAGGATGGATTTGGTGTAGAGCTGGAGTGTTGACAAAGATACACTTAGCAGGCCAGGAGGTCTTTTACAAATCAAATAATCAACCAGGAAAACCTGATTATAGGGCCGATAAGAAAGAGCTCACTTCGGCTGGTCCGGTGAATCAACACTCCCCGACGAACACAAACATACTGCCCAGTCAGGCTAATTCAGCCCCTATACCACAGTCACTACTGTTACTAAGAATTTACTTATTTTCTATTCTCGATTCAGTTCAACTTGATAGATATAGATCATTGGAAAACAGAGGGCAGCTTTACTGTAAAAAGTAACAAAACGAATTCAGTCCAGTCAACAACACAGCACTGGTTCAAAGAATATCATTAACTTTAGCATTAACCCCTAATTTTCAAAGCAAAACATTTGGCTTTTCAGCCTCAACACAACTTTTTCATCTCTAAGATGCTGACTACAATATCATGAACTCTTCTAATAGCAGTCTGAGTACCAACAGCAGGGCATAAACAAGCACACATGGACCAGGTGTTGGAGGTTTCTCGACAGTGAAATACACACATCCTTGACTTGCTCCACTTTCCTGACTCATCATGGCCGAGTGCAAAATACCACAGGAGGATGCCCTCTGCACTAAAAACTCTTCACCTTTCCTCCTGTCCAGACTGCACTGACCAGCCCAGCTGGTCAGTCAGCGAG